CCCTGGCCAAAGATGGCATCATGGGGCCCAAAGAGGGAACTTGGGCCACTCTGCCCAAAGCCAGGCTCCACACAGGCACACCCCATCAGGCACCAAGGTTAATTCCAACCGCCCGCCAGTGTTTAACTTTCCACAGAAGATTAGATTAAACATTTGGGTTCGTAAAAGCCTAGGATTGCAGGCTGTAGTTAGCAAGGGCTTAGCTGGTCATAAGCTGAAGGTGCTCAGCGGCCTGAGATGTAGGCACAGTCTGCAGAGCTCCTAACGCCACCAAGGAGGCTCGGAGCAGCCGGCTCAGCCAAGGCCGTTCGCGTTGCTCACACACTGCCTACGTAAGTTCTATGGAAAATTGACAAGTCTTTATATTTTGAGGAATTAAGTAACAAATTTATCTCCTTTCTGTTTCTCAAACACTGTAAAATGAATGATTTTTCTGGCATGTGGCCTGGCCCACCTGCCCAGCCCCACCCCTCTCCTTTCCTTCTGTCTTTCCTTCCTTCCTTGCTTCCTATTTTCCTTGCTCATTTCTCCAGTAATTGCCTTTGGATGAAAATTCTGGAAAACATCTTCTTTTGAAATGGGAGATTCATGTAATCACATTTTTTTTCTATTCTTGATATAAAAATAAAAGATCCTGCTGCCCTTTGTAGGCCCAAGTGATTCCAGGGGTCCGTCATCTTTCAAGAGAAGAGAACTTTGGGTTTGGGGATCAAATGAATGTTGCTTTCCTGATAGTGTCCAGATGGCCTTTGTTGTGAATTATATATTTAGGACAGGGAGAACTGGAATTATGGATCATCCTATCGTCTGGAGACAAGGCACAGTGAATTGATGTATGGAAGCTCAAACCACAGTCTTATTAGTCTTTTATTTTTTACCCAAGTGAGCTGGCCAGCCACAGGCCTTGGAGTCAGGCAGCTATTGGAATGTGTGACCTCTGTGGGGACAGAGGGAGCGCGGGCACTGGTGTGGGTCACTCGGGTTCTATCTGGTCACTGTGGTCAACTTGAGAGCCCTGTGATCTCAGGCAAGTGATTTCAGCTCTCTAGGCTATAATTATGCCACCTCCCAAAGACTAAGGCAGCCTAAATAACCTCTAGGAGCCCATCTTGTTCTGTGTGATGCGGTGAGAACTGTTTATTGGAAATGTAATTTCCATTAGGTGGAACTACATAAAACTGCCGATATTTGACCATTTAAACCTAGATAAGTGGCAATTTCATATGATTCAAGAGAACACATTAATATCTGAGTTGGTATTAACAACGTAAACGCCTATGACAGTGTTTAAGGTGGGATAAGAATGGTTGATGCCTGTGAACTCAACAGTTTTTCTGGGAGTCAGAACTTCAAATCAACTCACCATTTGAGTATGTTTTAGCATAATGTCCATCCATGAAACCCCTTTCACACACTACGATTTGGATTTTTCCTGTGGTCATGCACATCTTGTGCATCGGTATTCAGAATCGCTGTGGACCCCAGTTTCCCAGCCTGGCTGAAGGTCAGCACTTAGGTACTGAACCCCACAGGCCCTTTGCAGCCCTCTGATCAGGTCTGAACAAAAAGCACGCCTGCTCTGCTTCGCAGTGAGCCTCCGTCCAGGTGAGGAGAGCTGAACAAATACAGGGTACCTGCCTCTCACTCCCAAGGGCTGGCAAAGGCTGAATCCGTGACTCCAGAGGAACTTGGCACTCAGGGTTCTCATCTCACCTGCAGACTTCTCCCAGCACACCTGAGGATCTTTAGCTTAGCAACGTGGCTCTTCTGTGTCTTTGTTTAGTTGTTTCTGTGTTCCACTGTTTTTCCAATTTGACTTCTCAAAAGGAAACTGAATTCTCTCCAGAACAAGGCGGAGGGGATAGAAAAGCTGGGGAAATCACAGCATTCTTTTTGGATGAAGTCATGGAGAAGGGTCAGTGAAGTCGTCCTGCCCCACCACACTTCCAGGGTTCACCTTGGTGTGGGCAGAGGGTGGGGAGTTGGCCCTTGAGAGAGGACGCTGGTGTGAACTCACCTGTCTCCTCCAGGGTGAAAGACACAGGGGCCAAGTCTCGCGTGGACCAAGCCCACAGAGAGCTGTGCTCTCACACAGAGCTGAGTTACTTAACTGTCTGGTGGTGGGGGATCTGTGAAAGGGATCTTAGAGCTCTTTGAAAATAGAACTTAAAATGTCAGATGGAGAAAAATATATTCATTACACTGATTTCCAATGAGGAAATGTGGGAAGACCTGCTCTGAGAAGTTTTTCTTTGCTTCTTTCCCAGATGGTAAGACCTGAAACATCTCTTTTCCTGAAGGAATGACATATATTCAAGAGAGGTAGCAACTGAGCTAACACCTAACGCACAAAGAGGCAGCAGGTGGAAGAGTAAAGTAGAGGTGATAGAATGTGCAAATATCCTGAGACAGAAGAGCTCACTGACTTGGAGGAACAAAATCGGGTGGGATCAAATCTTTAAGAACAGGGAATCATGGCAGAGGTGGGTCAGGAGCTAGCTAGCTAGCTCAGATCAAGTGGGGTAAGCTCTGTTAAGAAATTGGATTTTATTTTTAAAACAACAGGAAGCTATTGCACCATTTTAAAAGTGAGGGGATAGCACGATTCTGTTTCCCTCTTGGAAAGAGCACATTGCTGTACAGAGCGGAGAGGGCAAAACCCCCAAGGTGATGATTTGGGGGAGAGCTGTATTGCACTGTATTTTCTGCATCACCCAAGGAGAGATGTTGGTGGCTGGATGGTGGCAGTGGGGATGATCAGGGCAGACCTGAGAAAGGAGAGGGACTGCTCAGCGTATTTCTTGGCATCACCTACACACAATGTTCTTGAAAGTACAGATGTACATGCTCATTTCTTTGGGACAAAGCACTGCCTATACCTACGAGATGGAACAAATTGGAAAGCCTGCCCATGCCTCTTTTGCCTGAATACTGTGTCTTCATTGTCTTCATCCCCATAACTCATAAGTGGGCGTGGCTTCCGTCAAGTGATTTTTGTTGAATGCTTATTTTGAATGCAGCAATTTACTGGCTGTTGTGAGGTTACTGATCTTTGTAAGTAATGCAAGAGCACTAGTGAAAATCTGGAACATGAGAAAAGCATAAAGATATATATTATATATATATATATATATATATACACATATATATATTATATGTATATACACACACACATAAACACACAGTGGTACACAGGTAAGTGTACCACTCAGTATTAACATTTTGACCTATTAACTTCATCTTTCCCTCATTTTCATATGTATACATTTATGTACAAATGTGTATATCAAAATGTATATGTGTCATTTAGTCACCATGAAGATTTTTCGTAAAGTAGTTATGCATGCAAACAATGAATGCAATGTATATGATCAGTTCAAATACTAACAAGATGTGCATGCAGATGTTAGGCAGGTTAAGGAGGAACATTACAGCAAAACATGATGAACAAAGTACAACATCACACAGACAGAGAAAGCTAAAGTCACTGAAAAAAGTCATGTTTGGCTGTGATGTTACACAGGTCGGTCTGTATGTAGTTTTAATGTTACCTGTGACAAAATGTGTTTCAGCAGATTGTCCAGAAAGCATTTTAAATGAAGAGGTATATACCCTTAAAGGCTAAAATTCTGTATATTAGATCACTCTTAAACAAAAAAACAGCTGCGGCTTTTATGTGTACACATGACACACAAATAGACAGAGAACTTTAAAAATTAAAAAAAAACAAAACAAAACACCAACCACCACCACCACCCTGGGCTTGTTAATGTGGCAAAATGCTGTATAAAACCTGAAACCTGTTCATTCCGTGCCATTGTAGTTGACATGAAGTGATTATACTGCCTTTGATTTCTCTCTGGTTTATTAAAAGGCTGACTGTAACAAAACAAAACAAAAAAAAAAAAAAAAGAAAGAAGAGGAGGAGGAAATATCACTCTCCCTCTGTATCCCTCCCTCCTCTCCCAAATGCTGAAAGGATCTGCTTCCTCAACCTCGTTCATCTATTTTATTGTTTAAATCACAGCAGGAGGGAAGCATGCCTTCGTTACTCAATCTGACCCAGACGCTGGAAGACGTCTTCCGAAGGGTTTTTATCACATACATGAACAACTGGCGCAGGAACACCACAGAGGCGCAGGCGGCACTCCAGGCCAAGGTGGATGCTGAGAACTTCTACTACGTCATCCTGTACCTCATGGTGATGATAGGGATGTTCTCCTTCATCGTCGTCGCCATCCTGGTGAGCACTGTGAAATCCAAGAGGCGCGAGCACTCCCAGGACCCCTACCACCAGTACATCGTGGAGGACTGGCAGGAAAAGTACAAGAGTCAGATTCTGCATCCAGAGGAATCAAAGGCCACCATCCATGAGAACGTGGGTGCAGCGGGGTTCAAAATGTCTCCTTGATAAGGCAGAAAGAGACAAAGCCAACCTCTGACATCCAGGAGTGAGGAGGTGCCTGCGCTCCCCAGCAGATCCAGATAGTCATTGTATAAAGAGAGCGAGTTCCTCTCCCTGTTGAAACCTTTCATGGAGGTGATGTGCTGGCCAACTGAGATGGAAGACATTTCACTCTCAGTGACTTATGCTTGCCTATTGGAGTGATAATTTGAGCATTTTCTATGCAATATAAATGTCATTTAAATCACTGTCAATAGTAAGAATAAAGCCAAATTTCAAGCCAAGGACCTGGACAGGGGCAGTGGGAATAGAAAAGAGAGTTAGAAATCATTAAACCTTCTTTCTCATGAAATATTAGGCTGGATGTGAAAAATTCAATTGATAAATACCCCAGATGTATTATTCAGAAGCCAAGGTTCAAAATTGATCACTTGCTGACTGGATTGACATAGGAACACTCACTTATTAATTTATGAGTTCTGAGTCTGAAGGGATGAATGAACAGAACCAGGAGGTTACTTTACATTTATTGTTATTCTAGTATTGACTTGTTGGAAGTCTGAAGACAGAACAAACATTGCAAAGGGCAAACAAACCATACCAGAGAAGTCAAACACTTAGGAAACTTACAGCTCAACATAGACACATTTTTAAACTAACAGTTAATGTTTTGCAGAAAACAAACTTTTAAAAGTCCTCATTACTTAAGGAAAAAATAATAAAAAGTGGACATGTCTTCATAAACAACCTTATGCTTACTTGATTTTTATTTTCTTTTACTTATAATCACTTATTTTCAATTTACATTTGAAGAGACTAAAGGTACAGGAAGAGGGCAAGTTGCCAATGTCATGTTCAACATGCACAGCTGGATGGTGACTGCTTTGACTGCCGGTCAAAGGATACACAATTTCGGGTAAATAGGTGGAATATGTTCAAGAATCTACTGCATAGCCTGGGGACAACAGTTAATACAAATACTGAGTGAACCTTAAGTGTCTGTTCTCACTACAGAAAGGATAAGCATGTGAGATAATGCATATGGTAATTGGCTCGATTTAGTCATTCCACAATGTGCCTATACTTTTAAACATTGTTACACATGAACATATGTACAATTTTATCTCTCAATTTAAAAGAAAACACTTTGCACCTGTGATGTTTTAGGAAGTCAAACCTGGAAGGTACCTTGGAGATGGTTTTGTTCTTGCCAAGCTGCTCCATTTGCAGATGAGGAATCTGCGGTGCTCTGAGATGAGATGCTTCCATTCACCAATTCCATTGGGCAATGTTTCTACTTGGGTTACTGCCTCAACTCCTCTAAACAGGAGTTTAGAGATGAATGAGACTCCCTGAGCTGCAGGAACACCCAGGAGAGAGGGAGTCAGACGGTTCATAGGAGGTGAATCCACAACAATCCAACAAAGCCCAGAGGACAAAGCCCAAGCAGGGCGGGAGGGTGGTCCTAACTTGGGTTCATGTTTCCCTTCTCAGTGCAGCTGAGTAGGAAGTAAAGGGCAAGAGAGAACCGTGTGGGGCTTCAGGCCTCATCTCCTTCCCGCTCCTCAGCCAGGCCACAAGGGTCCAGTAGGAACTCAACTCTTAAGGTATGAAGTTAAAAAAAAAAAAAGCTCTTATTCAAAGTGTGGTTATATAACTCCTTGCATAAACTGCCTTAATCTGTTTTCTGTTGCTATCACAGAATATCTGAGACTGGGCATTATTTTGGCATACGGTTCTGGGAGCTGGGACGTTGTGCATTTTCAAAATAACCTGACACACACAACTTAGAGGAGGAGAGATTTATGATGGCTCACGGTTTCAGAGGGTTCAGTCGGTGGGGAGCAGGCTCCATTGCTGTGGGCCTGAGGTGAGGCAGAACATCATGGCATTAGGACGTGGTGGAGTAAAGATGTCAACTACCGGCAGGCAGAAGAGGGGGAGGAAAAGGGGCCAGGGATAAGAATAGGTCCCCAAGACCATGACCCCAAGGACCCACTCCCCTCAACTAGGCCCCGTCTCCCGCAGCCCTCACCACCTCTTATTGGTCTATTCAATTATCAATGGATAAAACCATCCATGAGGTCAGAGCCCTCATGATCCAGTCACTTCCCCAAAGCCCCACCTCTGGACACTGCTGCACTGGGGATCATGCCTTCAGTACATGAGCCTCTGGGAGACAGGTCTGATCCAAACCGTAACGAAAGTGCAAGAGCATGGCACCCGCATCTGCGCAGCTTCTGGGAGGGCTGCATGCTGCTTCAACCCCCAACTCGGCAGAAAGTGAAATAGCCCCATAGGAGCTGCCCAACACCAGCGGCAACCCCCTTACCTGCGCCCTGGGTAGCTAATTGGGTCCCATCTGAGCTAGAACAAACTCACTGCCGCAGATGGCATCAATCCCCTCTTGAGGGCCTCTTAAAATATTTCCACTCCCAACACACTGGGACAGCCTCACCGCAAGCTGTCGTGGGGACCAACCATATTCAAACCATAGCACCAACGACAGGACCTGCCCCTTTCGGTCACAGATTCCGCTATACACAAAATATCCGTTTTCTGTAACAGATTTGCAATGGAGGCGGGAGTACAGGGTTAAGAGTTGGCAAAGGTAAACAGAAGGCGCTACTCAATGGCAGAGAAAGGAGTGTTAGCAAGTCAGGCTCCTCCAAGCCATCTTTTCCCCTAGGCCCCAACCTTGGCCTAGAAAAACCGCAGGCCCTGGCTACCCACGAGGTCACCTTTCCAGTTTCTAAACTGCCGCAACCCGACGGAGACCCGCTGCGCCTGCGCACCGAGCGCGCGGCGCCGGGGCATCTCGGTCGCACTGCGCCTGCGCGGAGCGGTGCGTTTCGGGACGTGTAGTTTCCCGGGCTGGGTCGCGCGAGTCCCGGTTTGTGTCCAGCCAGGGGCTGGGGACTCCGCCGCTGCGAACTGTAAGTGCGTGACATCCGGGTAGCTGCAAGTTCTTCTTGGGGGACCCGGGATCTGGCAGCCAGCCCTGCGTTTGCGTTTGTCTCCGGATAAACGCCTGCGCCCGCTCCCCGGCTGGGGACCGGGAGGGTGACAGCAGCCATGTCCCCACCCGCACAGCGCGCATTGCGTGTTTAGGCTGGCACCGGTCCCGCAGGCCCAGAGTTGGTTTGGCCAGAGGGCGTTGCGCTCCGGAGATCTGGGGACGACTGTTCTGTGCAAGGGAGGGGGAAGCGATGACAGCCCTTGGCCCTTATCCACGGGTCCTAGTGGACCAAGGGCGTGGAGAAAGGACTCAGCTTTGGCCTCCGAGTTCCCGAGGAGGAGCTGATGCCCTGAGGGTCCTCTTACTTCCCCAACCTTGCCCCAGAGTTACGGGCACCAACCTCTCCCGCTAGAGCGTGGGGTTCCGGAAAGTAGAGGTGCAGACCCCCAAATCAACATGTGGAGTCTGAGCACCCGACTGGGTCTGGTTTCCTGAGGTCAGGCCCCTGTGCAGAGGAGAGAGGGCCTTCTCAGACCTCCTCTTACTTCAAGTGACTGGGTGAAGAGCTAGGGCGAAAGTGACAGAAACTGGGGAAGGGGACAACTTCAAAAGTTAAAGGGCACTGCTGAGTGGTCACCGGAGCCAGTTACACATGGAGAAATAAACTGGCCCTTGAGCGTGTTAGGGGCGCCACCCAGAAAAGGGAGCTCGTGAACAAGACATTGTCACACTGTTTTAATTGGCCTAGGAGAAATGAGTGAATCGTTTTTCATTTGTTTCTAGAAGAAACCTGGCCCAAGAAAAAATAAGGATGCTTTTGCAGAAAGAAAATGGAAATATCTGAGCCGTTATTTTTGAGTTTTAAGCTGACTGTGGAGAGTTCCAGTAGAGGCGTCAAATTCCTTGCACACTGTAGATTTTAGGCCCCACATAACTGCCCCTGTTTTGGTGGCATTTTGCAGTCCAGCCTGCAGATGCCACTGCCCTTTGTTTCTAATATTGTATCAGGTGCACATGTGATATTGGAGCAAACCGGTGGCTAATATTTTTAGCTTTCTTAGTGGTTCTCATTTGCAGAAGGCCTGCAAAGTGCTATGAAAATGGCTACTGGGCATGTCATTTAAGAGAGGTGGGGAAACTTGTGTTTCAGAGTCAATGGTGGAACAGGGCAGGAGGACTGATGTGGGTGCTGTACTTTGTTTTCCTCCACTCTTACCTTCCCCCTCCCACTAGTAATGCAAATCGACTTTGTTTCTTTCTTTTTTTGGTACCCAGGATTGAACCCAGGGGTGCTTAACCACTGAGCTACATTCCCATCCCCCTTTTAATATTTTATTTAGAGACAAAGTCTCACTAAGTTGCTTTAGGGTCTCCTTAAATTTGAGGCTGACTTTGGACTCCCAATCTTTCTGCCTCAGCCTCCCAAACTGCTGCGATTACCGACGTGAGCCACCGTGCCTGGCTGTTTCTTTCTTAAAGAGCTTGAATCTTGTCAGGGTAGAAAGCTGAGGCAGCTGCCAGTATATTTTTGCAATTAAGTACTTGATACCAGAGAGGATAGTGAATTGTGAGTTCCAGAATTATGGAATCATTCTTTGGGTTCTGACTTTGCAAATGAGAACTCTTTGGTTCAGAAGGTTAATGACTTGCCCCAGGTCATATGCCTTGCCACTGGTGCCCCCAGGAATTGAGTCCAGAACTCTAGTTCTCCTTGTCCTCATTATTGTTCTTTATTCCATGCCCTGCTGTCCTGCAGTGGCTGCATTTTGCCCTCGGTGCCACTTATTTGCATCTTCAGCTTGATGTCCATTAGTGGAGGAGATTTATCATAGCGATAATGGTTGACATTGATTTAGTGCTTTCTACGCGTTGAGCTTGGTGTTTAGTGTTTACAGTGCAATTTCTGAAGGAGAATTTACAGATGAGGGAGTCTAGGCTTAGAGAGGCTGAGTGTCTTGTCCAAGGTCAGTCTGCCAGTAAATATAACACATGTTCACCAGAAGGCCAGAACACCAAAGGTTCTTTTTCATTTATTTCCTCCTGAAAGCTTTTGGGATCTATTTATTGCCCTTGACCTTAGGAGTTGATACCCTACATACATCAATTCATGGAGTATGGCAATTTGTGTGAAACAGCTACACTACTGTATTGTGTTCGTACACAACTCCCATCAAGCAGGAACTGTAAAAATAAAATTTAAAATAAAAATTCAAAAATAAATAAAATTTAAAAGAACTTCAAATATTTGCTTTAGTACACAATACGGCTAATCCCTAAGATGACCAGAGATTGCTCAGAATGAAAATTCTAGCAGCAGTTTATAACCTAGGAACCCATTTCTCCAGGGCAGTCAAAGTCTGCTGCTACTTAGAGGCAAGTGAGTGGTTTCCACATGAAGGTAATGAACACCTTCCATCATGTCCTTACCTTTAAACAGCTAGGGTTGAAATTCCTATTGTTAGCTTATCTGACTTTGCAAGTCACGGGGAAAACTTGCTTATCTTGTGCCAACAACTAGTTGGTTTTTCAAGCACTGTAACCTTGGAAAGATGAGGTAAGAACTTTTTAAAGCATCTTCCCCGAGGTTTGTCTTCTCTCCATTCTAAAGGCTCGTGAAATTTTCTGTTGCTTTTCTTCATTCTTTTTGTAAGTACATTTAAAGAAAAGTATCCCCGTAGATCTGGAGGTGTGGCTTAGTGTAGAACACCTGTCTAGCTTGCTGAAGGCCAGGATCCATCCTCAGCACGGCAAAAAACAAACAAACAAAAAACAGGACAATGTCAACAAACAGTGTCACCGTGTCACCGTGGTTTTTGAGCGCAGAGCCTCAGGATAGCAGGTGGAGGCTCTGGAGCCAGCCCTGACAGGTCCAGGTCTTAGGGCCACCTGGGAACCTTGGATGTGTTTCTTGAACTTTGTTTCCTCGTCTGTAAAGTGGAGAAAATGAACTGCACCTCATCGGGCACTTACAAACCCTACATGAACGACTTCATCTAAGTGATTTCACAGCCTGGCACACCAAAGTTAAGCTGTCCTTATTATGCAGGAAGTCATCAAATTTCAGAAAAAGTAGGGACTCGAGATCCTCTGGTTGGCACTTCCTTTTTTTGCTTCTGGATGCCCCTGAGGCCCCAAAGTGTAGGGTCTTTATCCAGAGCTTATGTTTTCTGGCTCTTGGGGTATGTGTATTCTAAGAATAGTGGCCTCTGAGGGCCCAGCACAAGTCCAGTGTCCCTCCTTGTCACCTCCAGCTTCCCCTTCCAGCGAGTCTCCCTCGTGCTTGACAGGGAATTTTCTATACGAATTGCTTTCTCAGACAATTTTTTCTCTATCATTTATTCCCTTCCCTCCAATAATTCTTTAAAAACCAAGATGAGCTCAGTTAGTGCTCAGAGGACCTGAGAACAAAGGAATCCATCCCCAGCTTGTGTTCAGGGCAGGAATGGGGTGGAAGGACAGCTCTGGGGTGCAGGCCCTTAGGTCCACAGGTGAATGAGTTGGGGCTCATGTCCCTCAGGGGCCATGCTGCCTCTTCTGTTGGGAGCTCTGGAGAGCTGCTGAGGAGAGGTTTTGCTCAGGAAGAACCAGGCCTGGCTTAGCCCTCATGTAGCCCTTCTGCTTCCAACAGGCTCTAGGTGACCTTGTTCAGGACACTTAACTTGCCTCTGCACAGCTAACTCTATTTGCTCACATGACCCTCCACATAAGAGGCCCATCTTCCTAAAGTGGTCTGCCCTGGAAACTTCAAGTTGATCTGTTTCTTTTCTTCCCTGCCAGATCAGACCTTTGAACTCCCAGGACTTGACCTTTCAGCCCCCTCTCATGCACTTGTCTGGGGGAACTACACTGATCAGGAGTGAACTCAGAGTTGGCCCACCATGAACTTGAAGGTGAGACAGTTTTAAACATTTATGATATGCTTTTTTTTTTTCCCTTTTCTTTTCTCCTTGTATTAGTTGGCTTTTAGTCACTATAACTAAATACCCGAGATAATTGACATAAGAAAAAAGGCTTATTAAGCTCATTCCAGTCCAAAATTGGGTGGCCCCATTTTGGGGGGCCTGTGGTAGGGATGCTGGATGGCAATGGCAGGGAGCACACAGTGGAGAAAAGAAACAAAAGAGGAAGAGACTAGGCTTCCACCATTCCCTTGGAGGAAACGCCCCCAATAACCTAAAGACCTCCCACTAGTCCCCACCTCCCAAAGGGCCATGACACCTCCCAACTGTACCACCCTAGGAACCAAGCCTTAAACACAGGGACCTATGGGGGACAGTCACATCCAAACCATGGCACTCCTAATTGTAAAAATAAAGAGTAACAGTTCTGTATAAGTAGATTAATGTAGGTGCTGGGGCTGTAAATCAGTGGTAGGGCACTCGCCTAGCATGTGTGAGGCACAGGGTTGATCTCCAGCACCCCATAAAAGTAAATAAACAAAATAAAGGTATTATGCCCATCTATAACTAAAAATATTTTTAAAAAAGATTAATGTAGCCAAAAGAGAGAGCATAGTCATGCTTAATGCTTTAAGTTAAAGCATAAATATACTTTATTCCCCACACCTCTGAAGGAAGGCCAGGCCTTTCTTTTAATCCACTGACTTCAGATCTGCCTCACTTTTCTTGCAAAACCATGCCTTAAAGCTTTGCCCACACTTCACATTTTGGTTTCTTTAAAGTAGATGGGATGGGCTGAACGTGTGTGTCCCCAGACTCATTTGTTGCAATTCTAATCCCAATTTTACGTTACTAGGAGGTGGGGCCTGGGGGGGTGCTGTTAGGTCAGTGGGTAGAGCCATCATGAATGGGCTCCATGCTCTCAGGAAAGGGTTCCCAAAGA